TCAGAAGGATAAAGAAAACCAGAATTAGAATCTGGACAGAAGTGATAATAAAACAAATTTACTTCCAAAGTTTCAGCCTTTTGGTAACTTTTGTGTCAAAACAATTTTATAATCATTGTTCTGCCCCCATGTATTATTATCTTCTGAAAAACATTGAAAAGAATCTGCTACTTTAAACTTGTGTAGAGGGACTCATTTTGCAACAATGTTTAAAAGTTTAGAAAACTCGGGCTGGTTACATTGATATATTTTCATTGTGTTAATTGTGTAAATGAGATAAATATTAAGGGTCTTAAAAGTTGATGGAAAATACATATTACGAAATGACTATGCATGAATTTCAAAAATAAACTTGTTCTTTAATGTAGTATTCCATCAACTTTTTGAAGTATCCTCATACTTTTATATTCATTATTTAAAAACTCTTAAATAACATATAATGGTAAATATTCCTCTCCATGTAATATGTACAAAAGCTTCTGGGATTTTTTTTTCTGAAGTTATCAACATGAGATTGTCCCTGCTTGAGCCCAACATTTTTTTCCTACTTGATTCCTTAATTCACACTAGCTCCAGCCCCTGAATTGCTCCCAATTATTTTTCTGCAGACCTTCCCTTTAACATGTCTGTCTGTCTGTCTGTCTTTCTTTCTTTCTTTCTTTCTTTCTTTCTTTCTTTCTTTCTTTTTAAATCCTGGAATGTTCTCCAAGACTTTGAAAAATTCAATTTTATCCATTTCTCAGGATGGTTCAGTCCAGCTCCTCCTAATAGCCTCCTGCAGCTTGTGGACTGGTTAGCATTTTGCTGCACCCTTCTCAGTCTCTTTACAAATACACACACAGTGGGCCAGCAAGTAGTATGGTAGTTAAGGTGCTGGACTTCCACATGGCCAATCATGGTTTGAGTCCTAGACCTGGTGGTTTGAAAATCATGCTGGGGGACCAGCAGTTAGCGTAATGGCTATGTCGCTAGACTCCCACGTAGTGGAACGCGGTTTGAGTCCTGGACCCAGTGGCTTAAATTCATGCTGGGTGCATGTGCGTGCGTGCCCAAGATCCCAATTGGAGAATGGAGGAGAAGGGATTGTGGTGTGGCCATCCCCCCCAGGGGGGGGTGATTTCTCGCTTTCTGTCTCTCTGTCTCTGTCTGTCTGGTGAGCGCATGTGCCCTATATCAAAAACCTCTCCAACAAAAAAGAAAAGAAAAGAAAAGAAAATTATGCTGGGCATGTGTATGTGCATGCATGCCCTAATTCCCAGGAGGAGAGGGGAGGAGACGGGATTGTGGTATGACCATCTCCCCAAGGGGTGATTTCTCACTTTCCCTCTCACTGTCTCTCTCTCTCTTTCTTAGGTAGCCACTTACCCTATAGCAAAAATAAAAGCAAAAACAAATATACACACACACACAGGCACACATGTATAGTATTATAATATTTTTACCTATGATATTATAATGTACTCTTATAGTTTTGTGAATTCCTTAAGAGTGGTATACATGTTACAGTTCTGCTCATTTTTTGTTGAATCAAATTAGTGACTGCATGATCAAAAATTATACAAACTCATTAATGCTGCCATACCAAACTTAAATTTAAAAAAATTATTGAAACAATATCGAAAGACTTGTTTTGAAATTCAGATATTACAGATCTAGCCAGGAGCCTGGACATGTCAATCAGCAGTCCTCTATATTTGAGTTCTGAGTGGCCCCATTCAGGGATTACAACCATTGAAGACCCTCTGCCCAGACTTCACTCTCCTGTCCCCCAGATCTAGCTAGGAGCCAGGACAAGCCAATCAGCAGCCATCTATATTTGAGTTCTGAGAGGCTCCATTCAGGGATTATGACCACTGAAGACCTTCTGCCCAGACTTCACCCTCCTGCCCCCCAGATCTAGCCAGGAATCAGGTTAGAGCACCCTACTTATTCTCTCTGTCTCTTTCTCTCTCTCTCTTTTTTATTTAAAAAAATTAAAAAAAAAAAAACTTCTTAGCTCTCTGTAGCTCTTTTGTCTTGCTAATTCTTACCTTTCTTCGGCCCCCATAGGACAAGCCAATCAGTAGCCATCTATATTTGAGCCCTAGCATGCGGAATACTTTTTATTTTTTAACAAAAAAATTTTCCTTTTATGGGACCAGCAGTTAGCGTAATGGCTATGTCGCTGAACTTCCATGTAGTCAATCACGGTTCGACTCCTGGACCCAGTGGCTTAAACTTACGCCATCTGCGTGTGCATGTGTGCCCAAGATCCCAAGGGGAGAATGGAGGAGAAGGGATTGTGGTGTGGCCATCCCCCCTGGGGGGGTGATTTCTCAATTTCTGTCTCTCTGTCTCTCTCTTTCTGGCGAGCTCATGCGCCTTGTAGCAAAAACCTCTCCACCCCCAAAATTTTTTTCCTTTTTTAAATTGTTTTTTTCCTCTTCTTTGCTTTTTTCTATTTCCTTTCCTTCTCTTTTTACCTTTCTCACTGTTATGTTCAGCCTCCACACACTGATTCTCTAGACAGGTCTAGGCACTCAGTAGCCAAATATTTGAATATTATTAGGGTCACTTTAATCCTCAATTTTCATTGAATCAGCTGTGCAGAGGGAGAAAAATGGGAATGTTTAGAGACTGCAGGTCACCTCCTCCTGCATCCTGCATGTTTCTGAATGCTAAGATTTAACTCCAAAAACTAGGAAAAAACATATAATCCATCAGAGATGTACAGAAACCACCACAGAGGCACAAGAAATAGGAGAAACCGAGAAAATCTTTCCCCTAAGGGAAAAACGTAACTCCTCAGGCTCCACAGACAATACAATGGAACTCGTGGAAACATCAGGTAAAGAATTTAAAATGAGATGCAAGGGAAGAGTGCCAGTGAACTCCAGAATATGCAGGAGAAAAGAGACAATGAGTTCCAGGAGGTGAGTAAGTTCTTGAATGACCTGAAAGAAGAGATACACATTATAAAAAAAGAATCAAAATGAATTGTTAGAGACAAAGACTGTAATACAGGAAATCAAAACTTCCCTTGAAAGTATCAAAAACAGATTAGATCATGCAGAAGATCAAATCTCAGCTGTAGAAGATAGAACCTCTGTGTCCCGGCCCACGGGACAATCGAGCAGGGATCCTGAGTGAGAGTGCGGAGGTCTGGAACCAGCGCAGCATCACAACACAGGAGCAACAGTGTCACAGCTCAAGATGGTATGCAGTCGCTCGTTTTATTGAGGGCCAGAGAACATTCTTATATACACAGGGTAGGAAGCTGATTGGTCGTACAATGAGGGATGCAATTCTACAACCACCGATTGGTTGCTGCGTTGAAGGGTAAAGCCAGGAGGCGAGGTAAAAAGGTGGCGGGAATTGTCGCGGACCTGACTGAGGACCTGCCTGAATGAGGAAGTCTCAGGGTGAATTGTCTACTCCTGGAACAAGGATACTTGAAGGTCCTTGTATGAAGGTCATGTCAGCCATTTTGGTGCAGTGGCTCCCCACACCTCTGACCTAGAAAAATTCACCAAAAAGACTGAGAAAATAACCCCCAAAATGAGAACAACATATGAGTAATACTAGATATCATTAAGCACCCAGACATCCAGATCATTGTTATCCCAGAAGCTGAAGAAACTAAGGACATTAACAATCTATTCCATGAAATCCTGGAAGAAAACTTCCCAAACTTAAAAAAGCACTCAAATATCCAGATCCAAGAAAGACAAAAGACCCTACATAAAATCAATCCCAGATCTTCCCCAAGGCACATAATAACCTTGACCAAAACTACAGACAGAGACAAGATACTAAATTTGGCAAGAGGGAAACATCAAGTTACTTTCAAAGGATATCCCATAAGGCTAACATTGGAAATCTCATCAGAAACAATGCAAGCAAGGAAAGAATGGGAAAATATATTCAAAGTGTTAAGTGAAAAACAATTTAAACCAAGAATACTTTATCCAGCAAGGTTACCTTCATATAGCAAGAAAATCCTGAAACATTCTCAGATAAACAAAATCTGAAGGAATTTACCAACACAGACCAGCTCTCCAAGAAGTGCTATACCAGGAAAAATAAAGTCAGACACACAGAACTAAGAGTAGAAAAAATAAACTATCGAATAGCTTGCCTTATGGTAGGGGCAAGTCTGGAGCTGAACATTAACTTCCAGAATTTAAATGGAAAGATCAGACCACAGGAACACTGCAAATTCGATACAAGAGAGATTAATTACATGACTCTGAACTAATGAAATAGAATTTTTTTTACTTTAGACTAAAACATTACTGATTTTCTTTGATGCTTTGATTTCTGTATTTAAGGATTTTTCTCTTTTCTTGAATTGATAGGTTCATCTATCTACTCTTTGAACTGAATCCTAACCTTTTTCCTGGCTTTAAGTTTTAAGTAAATTTCTCAATATTTTTTGATCTATTAAAACTAAAACTTTTTCTTGAAATTAAAAAATGCATTATAAATATCTGTTAATACCTATTTAATGACTACAGTAAGCTACAGAGTCCCAGTGAGGTGCTACTTTATAGTATGTTCACTTTATTCATTGAGATTTATGCCTAAAGTCAGACATGTGTTCATAGATATGTGTATTTCAGCTGTGCTTGCTATTGAAAGTTTTTTTTAATTAATTAAAATCTTTAGTGAACCAATAAAAGATGAAAAAAAGACATGGAAAACAACTGTACATACCAGAGACAGTATGGGAGAAGGGAGGGAATTAGCAGAGGGTGAGAGGTAGGGAATTAAGGGGGGGGGAGCAAAATATAAAATATAAAAGAAACAAGAAATAGAAAATTATTTATTGATGATGACATGTATGGTAATATCCTTGATTGAGCCAATATACTATGTATTCTGGATGGAAAAATCTGATTTTGCATACTGTATTGATGTATAGTGAATTACTGTAAATAAATAAATGTATATTTTTTAAAAAAGAAATTCAGATATTCCTACCGTGCACAATTGTTTTCATTTTTCTGTCTCTTTTTCAGGATTTATCCATGCTCATGCAGCATATGTGTACTAGAACAGAACTATGGGTGGTGAATAATTCCACAGTCCAAAGTGAAATGCTGCCATCTATAAAGAACTGGAAAAGATCTTGCAAACTGAAGACCCAAACCCTACTGGAGGATAAAATGAGTTTGAAGAGTCTGAGAGATATTTTTCTTTTTAGAAATTAGTTTCCTGTGAGTCTCACTTTTAATTCCCTAGGAGAGGTCTGTGATGTACTGTTCTGTGTGCAGAGCTTGATTCCTATATCTAGGTTCAGGTAGCAGGTGGGCTACTGTTGGAGCCATGCCTGAAAATCCAAAGGAAAAGGTACTGGGATGACTAGTTTGGAAGGCCAAGAGATAAGAGATAAGTTTTCTGGGAACAATCTTTACTCACAGTCAGGATGGAGGCTGTAAGCCCTGAGGACAAGAAGTGGACCACCAGTGCAAAGAAGTCAGCCTAGAGGAATTGGGGACTTTCTAGCAG